CTGGTGAGACCAGGGTGAACATGCACTCCGCGTCGTCCGGTGTCAGCCTCACTTTCCGCTTCTTTGGAGCTCCAATGTTATCTACAACATCCGACGAAGAACCGCAAACCCCACAGTCTTCGTCCAGTGGATAACGTGCCACTCCACGCGCATCTGAAGGGCCGTGCCCACGATGCCTCGGACTCTGTCCGACCACGCCATCAATGGCATGCAGCGATTGCTTCGCAACGAGAGCAGTGCTCTGTGATTTACGTGCCATTACACGTGCATCATAAGGGCCTTGCCCTCGATGCCTCGGATCTTGGCCCCTTAACAAAAATAGTGTAGCAACCGCTTCACAATGAAGGGTCCCACGAAGAAGTTAATTTTGTGTGCGGCGAAGAATAACTTGTGTATGTTTGCAAATAGCTTATTGAAATACACACACTCGAACACTGCTCGCAAGTGTTTGATGAAGCTTTCCACTTCTAATTTCTTGTTTTCTGTAACGTGGTTACACGTAACCTGGTAACAGGGGTGTGTGTCACACGAGATGGGCATGATGTGACCGCGTCCAAATAAGAATACGGTACGTGGCTGGGTTGCCAGTAGTTATGCATGTATTTAGATTTTACTATATACATTTAGGAAAATCTATACATTAAAAATTATGCGGCTTTGCCGCAGATAGAACAAATAAATACAGTTTACATTTAAAACAGAAAAGTTTATTAGCCTTGGGTTAAGGTTCAAATTCTTGGAGGTAGCGGGTTGCGATCCGCTACACTCGTACTGGTTATTGTGAAGAAAGTAAGGTCGGTGACCTAAAGTAAGCTTCTCTACCACAAAGCCACGGCGGCCCCGCTGCACTTAATAGCACTTGTAGTCAATCTACACCTGAGACGTTTAGACTGACCCTCTGTGAGGATGGATCAATTTTTCTCTTTGCCCCAGGGCATGCAGGACGGGATTAAAAACCTGATGTCCTTGCTTGGCCATGAGGGCGTGCAACACTTTGCTGCGCAAGGCCCCGAGGCTATCGATGCGCGACTGGAGGCGTTTTCAAGTTACGAAAACGCATTGCTATAGCACCTGCAGCAGAATATATCTGCATCATTTGTGTCTATGATACTACCGTCAGTGACGGATGATTTTCCCCGCCTTAAGCCGCTTATGGTGAGCATTAAGGTCTTTGAGGGGAAAGATGGAGAGAATCTCCTACTTTGAGTGAGAGAGGTCGAGATGGCCATCGCATCCGCCATGCTCCAGACCGAGCAACAGCGCGTGGCGCTAGCCATCTCAAAGCTCGGTGGTCGAACGTGAAAATGGACACTGCGGTGCGGCACTTCGGTCGAAACAGCGTTCCCTCCTGGGCGGAGCAGAAATTGCAGATCTCACGATTGTTCTCGCCGCCTATTCCGGCATTTTGCGTGCGATCGCGTTTCCTTGCCACCCACAGGGCAACAAGAATTTGGTGGACTTTGTCCAAGAAATGCGCACTCTTATTGTCGGGATGGCAGCAGATTCCCTTCCGGATGCGGTCACAGTGACCGTGTTTATGGAAGGCCTCCGCACTGGCGTGGCCAGAATGGAAG